TGAGTGAATTCTCCATTTTGAGACTTATGAGCGTTGCATGTGTATAAAGGTTGTACTTTTACATGTTTGTTGAGCTTGGGAAGGACAGATCTATGGATTAGAGGAACAGATATGGCCTCAGAAGGTCATTTGAGTATGATCATGGATGCAACTCGCCGAGTTCATAATTGGACTCGACGAGTTGAGTCGGGGTTGCCCCCGCGATTCGTGCTAGATGTAACTCGTCGAGCAAGGGGTTGACTCGGCGTGTCAAGAGAGGTGATAAGGAGGATTCTGTGGACGTGTGGACTCGCCGAGTCGTCCATGTGCACTCAGCGAGTCGGGTTAAAGATTGACCGTTGACTTTAGGGTTTTAGTCAAGGCTGACTTAATAGAGTTCAGGGAGGGGTAGAATGGTCTTCTACCCAATCTTTAGAGATGAGACTACGATAGAGTATTGATCGGGAATGTTATTTGAATAATAGGAGGAGGCTAGGTCAGGATGATGAGCATGAGAGTTCATCCGACTACGTTTGAGGTGAGTCTCCTCACTATAATTTACCTTGAGTGGTAATTAGAGTTATGGGACATAGTTATTGTATGCTATTTATGTGATATGCTGCACTGCATTATTTGTACGTGATTTATGCCATTTGTATATCAGAGTATATCAGAGTTAGAACCAGAAGGTTCGTAGAGCTAGGACCAGAAGGTACATAGAGTTAGGGCCCAAGGGACCATAGAGTTATAGCCTCGAGTGTATAGTATGTATTATGTGTGGTATTTTGGGGAACTCACTAAGCTTCGTGCTTATAGTGTTTTGTGTTATGTGTTTCAGGTACTGGTGAGGATCGCGGGAAGGTGCCAGCATGATCAATACACACACGCGCAGTTTTGTTTATATGTTATGATTTTGGGATTTTTACTTATGTTCAAATATATGAAACAATGAGTTTTATAATATTGTGAAATAAAGTGTTTTTTTATTTGAAAATTTGTTTGAAATTTCTGGTGTTACAGTGTGTGCTAGTAACAAGAACGTCAGATTTATCAAACACATCACCACACTTATCAATAACATCTGAATCATCAGACTTTGACATAGAATCATCAAAAATCAAAACATCAGTTTTAGAGTTAGAAACAAAAGCATCATTGTTTGAAATAGAAACATCATAGTTTGAAACAATATTATTATTAGAGACACTCTCTCCAGCTACTTGCTTACCATGACTAAATGGTGAATCTGCATAGGAAGTAGAAATGTTAGTATCCTTTTCTCTAGCACTACTCTCTAGCACAGGTACAACAGGTTTGCCATACACAAGATATTCCTCCCTGTCTATTTCTTACTGGGTCATAGGGATAGAAATATAATTATGATTAAATGGAGGAGGGACACTCTCATACCCTAGACCTACCTGTTTCTTGTCTTTCCATCTCATTTGTTTCTCTATCATGGTTGCAACTCTCTTAATTGACACATCAAACTTTTTAAAATTAAAAGCAACATTTTAAAATTGAATTTTTAATGTGTCAAGCTCATCAGTTACAGTGGCAAGTTGTTTCTTGATAAAATTGTAGTTCTCACACTTGTTGCTATACTCTTCCTGTAGTTTCCTAAAATCCTTAGTTTTGGCCTGCATTGTTCTTTTAGTGGTCTTTGGCCCTTCCTAAGGTTATAACCTTCGTACTTAAGGTCCTCGTTTTCTCTACGCAATAATTTGATTTGTTCACGTAAAAAATTAATAGTATCAATGCATTTTTTTTTAATAGGAAATTTCACAGACCTCTTTCTTCTTAGGCTCAGGGGTGGTGGATACCATGAAGGCAAACTACAACTCCATCATCTCCTCATCAGGATCCTCTCTAACATTCTCCTCGGTAACTTCACTTATATGGGCCAAATGTGCATTTTCAGGTCCTGAAATCTTCAAGGCATGAATTTGGTCTTCCCAATCAAATGACTGAGCTACCACCGCGAGATTTGTAGTCTCACTGTTGGCAGCAACTCCCCTGTTATTTCCAACTGGCACCATTTTCCTTTCATGATATATTCTTCTATCAGGCTTCGGACAATCACGAGCAAAGTGACCAGGCTCATGATAGTTGAAGCAACTTAACTTTCCTTTGTTGAATCCAACCTTCTTCTTTCTAATCATTCCCCATTTATTCTTTCCAGTTTTCTTGGCAAATTGCTTCGCCCTGAATACTGACATTGTAATCTGCCAGGTAATGTCTGTTTCTTTTACATCCTCTAGGTGAATCTGATCAAGATTAATGAATGAAATCTAAGGAGGAAATTCTCTAGCCACAAAAGCATTGTAGCAATTCACTAGTCCAGAGGCTAGGGCCATGTTCTCTTTTGCTTCTTTGGGAGCAAAGGTAGTAACAGGAGCTTTTGATGAGGAGCATGCATGTGGATAAGGCATGGATGGTGGAACAACATGGGATGGTGGTTGTGGAACAACAAAAGCTTGATTTGGTAGAGCAGTAAACGATGAAAAGGCACTGTTTGATGAAATCCCTAGATTTGCAGTCGAATAGGAGTTCACATGGTTACTTTCCCTTTGCTTGTCATCAAGATCACAGGCTTTAATTATTTCCATTTTTTCTGCAAGACTGAGTTGGTTGAGATCCTTTGTCTTCTTGATAACAGAGACATTCATGTCCCATGATGTGGGGAGAGAGTTCATCAATTTCTTGTTAATCTCTGATCATGACACTAAAATTCTAGCATAACTCATCTTAGTGGTAAGAGTAATAAATTGTTGTAGTTGAGCCTCTAATGATTCTCCAAGAATAGGATTAAACATGTTGAACTTCTGTCTGAGCATGTCTTGTTGTCTTTGCTTCATGTCTTCATTTCCCTCATAAACTTCAATCACTGCTTCCCACGGAGCTTTGACTGAGTCATACTCCCTGAATCCTTGTGTAATTTCCAGAGATAAAGCCATTGTCAGTGTTGCGAGCGCCTTTTCTTGCTCTTTAGTTTTTTCGAAATCCTCATCTGTGTAATTCACAAAATCTTTATCGACAATGGTTCCATTTTCAAGTGAGGTAGTGATTCTAACTGGACCCTTCAGAATGTTGCGCAATATCTTGAAATCCTTCATTTTAATGTATTTCTCCATTATGTATTTCCATTCAGGAAATCCTTCAGCTGATAGAGGACGCGGGATTCTTGTAGTAGTTCCCATGATTGAGTCCAACTCCTGATGAACTGCCATGCTTTGTGGTTGCATTTTTTTTAATTTTATTAATTAACTGAAAATAAAAGTTGTAAAGAAAACACAATCGAAAACTGAGTTTACAGCCAAGAATGAGTTTACGGCCAAAAAGGGGGTTTACGGTCGTACACAGGCTTGCAGTCGAAAACAGTTCGCGGTCAAAGCAGTTGACCGTCAAAGATCGGTTTACAGTCGAAAACAGGTTGTTTTCAGTCGAAAAGAGTTTATAGCCGAAAAATCAGTATGTTTAGGGCTGAAAACACGTTTACATCCGAAAATTGATGAACAATTTACAACCAAAAACTCCTAGATTTTGATGAAAATAGATGATTTCGAGTAGATTTTCAATCCCTTTGGCCTTAAAATCACGATCAACAACAGAAACTTAGTAACCAAGCTTGAACAATCTCAAAAATGAAGAATAACTTCAACCGAAAACACAACTTGAACAATTTTGACACTAGTATGGATCTGATACCAATTATAAGTCCCCAAATCTGGAACCAACTAGTGATCAAACACAAGAACAAGCAATAATCAATAAGAACAAGAAGGAGTAGAAGCAAGAATGATCCAAATTGCACATGTTTCTGTTGAACCGGAAACATCTGGTATAATGGACACATACATACAACCAAACACTACTTATGACAACACTGACACAATATATAAGGAAAATGAACCGTAAACAAGTTCAAGGCCATAAACAACCTTGCAACTGTAAACACCAGCTGAACCGAAAACACCCTGTTTTCGGTTCACCCAACCGCAAACCCAATAACTACCTAAACAAAGACTAACAAGACTCATAAAAATGAATGCCTAGCCCAAACCAACAAAATATGACCTAACACTACTAGAAAAACAGCCTTTTACAACGCTCGTTGTGCATCGTAAAAGGCTCAGACAACACTCAAATGCGCGTCAAGGAAGGCCCTATCATAAAGAGAGACGACGTGCTTTTGCGCATCGTCTATAGACGACGCGCATTTACGATGCGCAATTACAACGCGCGTTTACGACATGCAATGCGTATCAAGGAAGGCCTTGTCATAAAGGAAGTTGACACGCATTCGCGTGTCGTAACCTTACGATGCGCGTGTTAATGACATGTAATGCGTATCAAGAAAGCCCCTGTCAAGAAAGGCCATGTCATAAATGAAGATGACACACATTTTTGCGTATCATAATTTTAAATGTTTAAAAAAATATATTATTTATCAATTTACTTATTTTCAAATTAAATTTGTATTTAATGTTTCAAAAAAGAAAATAAAATATCTTATACAAAAAATAGAATCCATTGCATTCTATTTCTTACAATATATAAATTTGCATCTAATCTACTAAGTACATCAAATTCCAACTAAGTAAAGTTGCATCTTGCCTTTTATAATTCTTTAAAACTAATGCTCCAAACAGCTTATTATATGGATAAGCAGTTGTACATTGGCCCATCTCACTCAATAATGACTTAGCCAAATTTAACTCCAAGTCTTTACTGCATCTTGTTGATAATGCTGCAAGATTTAAATCAAATTCAACTCCAAGTCTTTACTCAATAATCAAAATTAGCTTCCAGATCAGATTGAGAGCTGCAAAAAAAACTAATATATGTTAAGCCAACTAACTTGACTAAGTTGACATGGTTTCTAATTGGAACTAGTTTCTAGATGATGAATGGAATATAAATTCAAGTAGGGTTTTGAAGTTTGAACAACAGATATGTTGTTACCTTAACGAGGCCATGTGGACCAATGATAACAAGATCTTCAAGTGCTTCTGCTTTGTCTAGTGATAAGGTGATGTATAACATATCAACACCTCAAACTCATCAAAATCCTCCTGCAGATGCAATGGTTTGTGGTGGTTTTAGATGCTTTGTGAAATGTGAAAACAATAAGAATCTTTTTTCATGAATTTGACAAGGTGGCATAGAGGAGAGAACCTCAAAGAAACTATTGAGAAAATGTGAAAGGGAAAAAAGTATATGATGACCTGATTTTGTTCCGCATAGTCATCAATGAAGTCCTTAACATCATTGACTTGTTCCTCCAGAAATAGGAGGCATACCAAGAGGGTGCTGCTTCCTTGTTGTACTTGTTGGAATCTCTGTAGAAATTTCTCTCTTTGATCTAGTGCTATTTCAGTTCTTCCACGGAATTGTCCCTATTAAAAAAACATAAAAAGTATTTTAGTTAATGTAGATACAATGTATAGTATAGCAATATCCTCTGACTTCTTCTTCCTTGTTTATAGATGAGGAAGGGATGGTGGAGACTGAGACTGAATTGTCTAAAACGCCCCACAGAGTTGGACCTGGAGGGACTGAAGAGGTGGTGAGATTATGAGATGGAGTGGGGACAGTAATAGGGGTTGCGTGGGTCCCGGATGGTGTTGGAGGGGATGATGAGATGTCAATGGCTTTTGGAGGTGGGGTCCATGGCCCTTTCTGCTTTCTCTGTTGATATTCCAGGGTTCAATGTTAATTTTGTAGTTGTCAGCTCATAATAAAGATAAATAAATATTTCAGAAAAGATAGAAAATTAACAAACAAATAACTTAACCTTCCTCTAGAACTGGAGCCCACATGGGGATACTTTAACATGGTCCAGTCAAATATATAGTCAAACTGATAAATTGAATAAAGAAAGTTTGACACATGAACACTTCTTGTTCAATATACTGATACATATTTAAGAAAATAATATACGGCAATATAATTATTTAAAAAATATGAATAAATTCTACCTTCTCTAGTGAAAAGTTCACGGAAAGCCTCTTCAAGTAAGAATAATCTGGTTTGTCCTTAAATCGCAAAGATCGACAATAATGGAAATATTGTATGAATTCAGTAGGATAAGATTTGCAAAGCACCTGTAAGGTAAAAGTAAATAAATAAAATAAAACTTCAAGAGAATAAGTACTTAAAAGTATATTTGCTGTAAATAATAATCAATACCTCACTGGGAGTAAACATCTTTTTTCACTAATTTTATCATATTTCTGCTTCTTGGTGCCAGCTTTTAATCCCTGCCATGGAAGGCTACAACAGCATACACATATTTCATAACATAAGCTAAGATGATGATGTATAAGACTATATTCCATAGATTTCAAATTTTTAGTCATTTCACCACAGATTCATAGATTTCATCACAAATAAGTCACATATTAAATACATTCAACTGATTCAAGTATACAACTAAAATAAAAGAATGTAGAAGGATCCTCACTACCTTTTGGTATTGTTTGCATAGCACGTACAGTTGCAATTCTGCCTTCAAATACAAGAACTGAATTTGGAGAGCAGCTGTAAAATCAAAGTCATTTGTTAGTTGATGTGAGTGAAGTTTCAAAGAAGAAAATACCATTTTTACCCCTGAAGTCACCTGTGATTTATAATGGAAATGATGGGATATAGTCCGGTTCCAAATGGTATCAGCTCACTGTCACAAATTGTATGTGCATTGCATGCAAGCTGTGTGCAATTAAAATAATATGTATTATAAAATTATATAGAAATTGTTCTCATTTTGTTTTTAAAAAAATAGAAATGTAACTTGGAGAAATTCTCTGCAATCTCTTTAATATTGAGAGTAGACCACTGGAGTATTATATTGACAAGACTTGCCATTTGTGCGTTTAACACCAACTGCTTCTCTTCAACTTCCGAGATATCTTTATGAAAATGTGTCAACTTTAACAACAAAAACCATTGAAACTTAGCATCACAATACATGAAATTGACGAGTGTGGATATAAATAAAGAGCGAGTCCAACCCCTTCAAATATGTCTTTCAGAAGTGAGATTACTTGTAAAGCAAGCATGTCTTGTCTACAGTCGTCTCCAACCTACAGCACATAAAGATAAACATTTAATAATTAAACCAATGTTTATAGGTGATGAGTAGTAATTGCTTACCTTAAAAATACAAGCTTTGGGTTTTATAACTTTTGGGTCCCCATCTCGATCAAACACATTAAAAGTGATCATAATTGGGAATTTTGCTGCCGATTGTAAAGGGATTCCACTATTGACCTAAATGCCCCTCACAAGCTTACTAGGAGCTGTAGGTAGATAACAATCATCTCCAGGTAACTGAATTTTTTCCAACTCGCTGTACCCATATCGTTTATAAAATTAATAACCAGTAAACTACAATATGCTAATAACAGGAAAACATAACATTTAATCAATATATAAATGAAACAACTGAGATATACCTCTTGATGCCAGCTCTCCTTTCTTCTTTGGAGAGTGGATACAGAGCACCTGATATAGTGGTGAGTTTTTCAAAGAAATCAAATTCTCTATGAAGTACTTCACATGCCTCGGGGCTAAAACCATCAGTTATCTGATCTCTAACAATGGGCAGTAGAGCTAGAAATTCTTGTGTCTGAGAAGGACAAAATGGTCAGAACTCAGAATTATGTTTGTAAATCATAAAAAACAAGTGATGTTAGTGCAAAGAAGATATAGCCATATAGGTAATAAGACACATTTACCTTTGCAATTATTACTTCTTTACCTTCTGCTGCACATGTCTCCCCCTGTGGCATGTAGCTTATAACTGCATCAATATCATCCAAATCATCAATGTCTTCTGGTGTAGACTATTTTTGAAGCTGCCAACAACAACAAAAACACAAAAACTAAAAGGTGAGATGGGATTTACAAATAAATAAATAAAAGAATTAGTATCTCACAGATTTTGGCCAATGAGATCTTAGAAGAAAGAAAAGAACAGAAATAAAAAGACTATTGTTTTATGAATTAAGATAAGAATCTTACTTCACACATTTGATGGAGTTCTGTCCTTTGTCTTCCAATATGTCTTGGCATCATAACATGAATTACAAGTTTTAAGAGTATTACCACACCCAAACCCTTTCCACCTAATGAAACATAAATTATATTATATATATTTCTATAAAGAAACTGCACAAAGTAGAAAACAATCTCCCTGGGACAAATTCCAACAGCAACAATTTGTCATCATAACCTCCAGACATGCATATCTTAATGGGATACCTGATATTTCTCATTTGTATGATATTGCAAAGGTGAAACTCCATTTGGAAAACTTGAATTATGTCTGTCAAAGTTATCTACATAATAAATTTTTTTGTCATCACTAGCCTGCTTTAGAAAATAATAAAATACTATTACTAACCTGCTTTAGAAAACTTGCAAGCTTCTTAACCTCAGTGTCTACTGCCCTGCTTTCCCTGCAAAGTTAATCTCATCAAGTAGGTTTGGTTTGGCTATATCTCTTTTTTCATGAATCTGTATAGTATAACTGTTTCAGAAGTGTTGTTTCTTGTTTACATAATAGCTTAATAGGGACAGTATGTAATCTGATATATATATGGGTGTTCCATGTCTTTATGCTGACCATATATGGACGTAATCATGTAATCACAACTTTGAAAAAAAATAAGATGAAGTCCAGAAGACCAGAAGTTTGAAAAATAGAAGCTTAAGCAAGTAAATAAACTATCATACCTTAAACCACGATCTACAATACACCCCAACTCAATAGCAGATTCTCCAGGACGACCTGAATCGAACGAAAGGATCCGCCATAGGTGAGAACTCAGTGTAGATTGCAAGTGTCCCTTCATTAGGTCTCTCTTGATAAGGTTGTACTAGTTGTCCCGTGACAAATCCCATAACTCGAGTCTGTCCAAGCTGGATCTCTAATGAACCATCTTCTCTACAATATGAAAAGCTCATCGTTCGTCAACAAACTGTTTATTTTTAGCCAAGGGAATACGAAATCAAGTGATGAGTATGGGATTTCTTACCTTCTGAAGATGATAGATAGTTTTCTATAATCGAAAGGACGCCTACCGTTAACTCTAAGGTCAGATCGTAATGCAGACTCGATGAATTTCTTCTCATTCACCGACACTGTTACACTAGGGTTTATAAGGGAGAAGACTGATGAAGAAGTTGAAATCAATGAGAGACCAAAAGCATACATACCTACTTGCCTGTCGATGGAGTAGTTGTTTCTGGTTGTTGCAGACGCAGGTGGTGGTGGTTTTTTGTCTCTTCACTTTGAGTCGAGGAGAGGGTTTTAGGAGGGTTTGGACCCAAATCGATGTATATCTAGGCCTCCATGGTTGACTTACTGAAGATGGTGAAGCGGATTGGAGAAGATGGAGAAGGAGGGAGAGGGGACAATCGATTACGGAGAGCCGGAGATGAAAGAAGAAAGAAGGTAGAAAAGCGGGTTTTCAAAATTTTGTGGATTTCGTTTCCCCCATATCTACTAAACACGCTTTTCTTTAAAATTATAAAGCAATACTTATAGAGGGCGCACATTTTTAGATAAAGTGCCCTCCGTGTTTTTAATTTTTTTTTACATTAGACACTAATTTAAGGGCACGCAATAATGTGTGACCTAAATCCTTCAATTTTTTGAAGAGATGACACTTTTTTAATGTCACTCTCTTTTGCGTAACATAAATCAATGAGTGTCGTGGTTTGCGCATCATTAAAGGGTCTTTTTCTTGTAGTGTAACACGCTAGAATCGGTCTCGTAGCTTACAAACTCCATTTACCTATAGAACTTAACAACATACATCCTATCTTCCATGTGTCAAATCTAAAGAAGTGCCTATCTGATGAGACTATTGGGATTCCACTCGATGAAATCGAGATGAACGAGAGTCTTAACTTTGTGGAAGAGCCATTAGAAATCATGGATAGAGAAGTCAAACAAATGAAACAAAGTCGCATACTGATAGTGAAGGTTCGTTGGGATGCCAAGAGGGGACTGAATTCACTTGGGAGTGAGAAGACCAGATGCAACAAAAGTACCCGCATCTCTTCCCTGGTCCATGATGTACTCACTATAGCAAGAATTTCAGGATGAAATTCCCTCTAACGGGGGGATAATGTAACAACCTGTTATTTTCAATTCAATAAGAGCCAAAATCTCATTTCGATCCTTATGTTTATTCATACCCCCTATTACTTCAAGGGCATATCTATAAGCTAATAATTAAATTATAACTTGAGTATTAAGTGAACCATGATATTATAACTTAATATAAGTGGATAGATTAATGTTTAAATCAATAAAAATATACCCCAAAAAGGGTTCACGGTCAAGGAGTGAACTCCAAATGGAGTTCGCGGCCAACAAATCACTCCAACATGGAGTACACGGTCCAAGGGATTCAAGAAACGGGAGTTCTCAGTTTGGGATTTGGAACCAAAGGGTGTTCATTGTTGCTTTATGATCGTAAACTCCTCTTATTGGGCTGAAAACCCCACTTCAAGTCCATTTGTGGACCGTAAACACTAAGTCCTAATACCACTTCAACCATAAAACCCCCTATATATGTGTGTTTGCACCTTAAATCAATTCATTTCCTTATTTCTCAAACGTGAACCACTTCAAAACCCTCTCAATCTTCATCTGTGAACATCCTCATTTCCTCTCAAGCTTCAAAGGTTTACACCCATAATCTTCAAATCTTCAACCACTTCACCAAGAACATTCGTAATATCTTCTAATCTTAATAAACTCCTCAAGAACACCAAGATCCAACCATGAACACCATAACCTCCAATCGTAAACCCCATTTTCCAACCAAAAACTCATTTCCAATTAATTCCAATTTAATTGTAAGTCCTTATAAAATTAAATTATTATTTAACCTATTATTTAAATTAATATCTTATTAATTTAAATACGAAGTTGAAAATAATTATTTTAGGATAACATTATCTGCACCTATGCATACCCAAGGATCGTCTCTACAACTCGCTAACTCAAGTTAACGCACATTTAAGGTGAGTTCATACCCCTACATTTTCATCGTTTTTACTATTATTATTTTTTTTGGGGGGGGGGGGGGGATACAAGTAAAACACTAGGACTTTTTTGTTTATTCCAACATTTTTTAAATGTTTTTAAAACCTTTGCAATTGTTTCAAAACTAGTATTCACTACACTTCCTAAAACTATTTCATATATATTTTTAACATTTTTGTAATATGTCGAGCATAAGGGTATTTGCTTTCATAAAATTGAATTGCAAGTGTTTTTATTTCACTACGAAATATACATTTAAACTATAATCGGTATAGTTTTAGATTTGTTACAATATTTTTGCTAAGTACAATACACGAAATAAGAACGTACAATCAAAACTATAATAGGTATAGTTTGGGAAACACTACTCTAATACATTGATACAAGTATATACTATTAAAATAATTATTTAAGTATAATTCTTTTACACTACAATGTACATTAATACGAGAAAATACGTACAGTTTCTATACAAGAGAACACTACAACATTACACGTACACTAGTTAATACAGGGTTGTGAGGCACTACTTCACTAGTATCCACCAAGATACGGGACTAAATCCTATACAGTATAACCAGAGTCTCCTGGAGGGAGATCGTGAGATTTATGTATAGATCTATATGCAACTGACAATCCCACACCTAAACTGCTAGCTACAGTTAGGCTGGCAGGCTTGGGGTGACAAATGTCATAACTTTTAGATGCCTGAAGAACGTCTTAGAGGTCACTAGGTCATATCAAGCTTGGTAATATGAAACTCACAACAGTGTAAACTGAAACATTTGTTTATGGGATTAACACTACTTCAATGGTTTTATTTTAATTAATAAAACTACAGTACACTATTTAGATTACAGATGGTAGTAACCAATCATTCATACAAGGTTTTCATGCAAACACTATTATGGTACGCTACTTTACACTACAATTGGTGAATGCCAGACATTCATACTAAGGTTTTTATACAAATGCCATTACATTACACTACTTTCACTACAACTAGTGGTATCCAGGTATACATATAAACGTTTACATATAAATACAGATACAATACATTGTTTTCTAATATTGAAAATATGGGATTTTCTTGAGAAACCTATTAGTATTTTCAAAGTACAAAGACACGTTTTCCATCACTAAAACATACTTATGAACTCACCAACTTAAATGTTGACACACTTTCAAAATCATTTGTATTATCAAGGAACCGATAAGACAGGTACTCCCGCAGATTTTGAGAAGGCGGAGCTTTTAGAGTCGCGTCTTTTATACTTTTGTTATACATTTTGATGTCATAAAAACTATGTATTGAACAAATATAAATATTTTACCTTATCAATGTAATGGTTGTGTTTGCTTTGATTCCTATTATACAATTGTTGTGATACTGTACATGATGTCCTCTGCCCCCGAACGTTTCTGTAGTTCCGGTTTTGGGGGTGTGACAAAGAGGCAGTGGAGGATCCCGTAGTGGTCACTGGTACGTTCCTCCTCAACAACATTTATGAATGCATTTTATTTGATAGTGGGGCAAAAAGAAGCTTTATGAGTCATACTCAACTAAAACCCTCAAGCATTAAACGAATCATTGACTGTTGAAATGGCTAATAGAAAACATAAACAACCAACGATGTATTCATAGGGTGCACACTAACTTTAAATAACCACTCCTTTAAAATCAACTTAATGTTGATTACTATTAGGAGTTTTTATGTGATCATCGAGATGGACTGGTCAAGCCCCCACCGTTCTGATATTATGTGCTACGAGAAGGTCGTTCGCCTTCACCTACCCAACATTGAAACCCCGGTTATATATAGCGACAAACTCGGTGTGACTCTTCGTATCATTTCGTGTATCAATGCACATAAGTGTTACACAAGAAAACCCTTGCCTTCTTAGCTTATGTGGTTGATAAAAAGAAAGAATATAAGAACATTAAAGACATCACGGAGGTGTGTGATTTTCCCGACATGTTTCCCGAAGACCTTCTGGGAATACCTCCCCAACGCCAGGTCGAATTTTGGATCGACTTGATACTCAGATCCATACCAATCACCAAATCACCATATATATTAGCTTCTATAGAGATGCAAGAGCTTTCCAGTCAATTAAGTGAATTACTGGACAAGGGGTTTATAAGGCCAAGCTTCTCACCCTGGGGAGCTCTAGTCTTATTCATGAAGAAGAAGGTTGGGTCATTTCGTATATGCATCGATTATCGTGAACTCAACAAGCTCACCATCAAGAATTAATACCCTCTTTCACGAATCGATGATGTATTTGACCAGTTACAAGGAGCAAGTTACTTCTCAAAGATAGATTTACGGTCCGGGTACCACCAACTACAGGTCTGAGAAGAATATATTCCCAAGGATGCCTTTCGAACTCACTATGGTCATTATGAGTTTGTGGTAATGCCTTATGGTATGATGAAGGAACCTGCAACATTTATGGACCTAATGATCCGAGTACGTCGACCCTGTCTTGACAACTTTGTGATTGTATTTATCAATAATATACTCTTCTATTCACGAAGTAAAGAAGAACACAGTCAACATCTGCCATAGGTTCTGGAAACATTAAGGGCAAAGAAGCTGTATGCAAAGTTCTCTAAATGAAAGTTTTGGATTCGAATGGTGTATTTTTTGGGCCATGTGGTTAGTGAGGAGGGAATACATGTGGATCCTCCATGGTCAAAGCAATTGAAAGCTGGGCAACTCCAAGAAACCGAATGGAGATCAGACAATTCTTAGGCCTTGATGGTTACTACAGGAGGTTCGTACAATATTTCTCTAAGATTGCCAAGCCACTCACCGCCTTAACTCAGAAAGGTGTACCATTCATCAGGGAAGAGAAACAAGAGGATGCCTTCCAGACCTTCAAGCGAGTTTTATGTAGTGCTCCAATCTTATCCCTTCCAGAAGGGATAGAGGACTTCTCGGTATATTGTAATGCTTCCAACCAAGGTTTAGGTTGTGTACTTATGCGGAGAGGAAAAGTCATAGCTTATGCGTCAAGATAACTAAAGATTCACGACGTGAACTATACCACACATGACTTGGAGTTGGGAGCAGCCATGTTTGCACTAAAGATTTGGAGGCGCTACTTGTACTGTACCAAATGCACCATCTATACGGATCATAAAAGCCTCCAACATATTCTAAACCAAAAAGAGTTAAATATGAGGCAGCAGCGATGGGTTGAGTTGTTGAATGATTACAAGTGCGGGATTCGTTACCATCTGGGAAAAGCCAATGTGGTGGCAGATACCCTAAGTTGGAAGGAATACTCGGGTCACCAAGTAAGAACACTAACAATGACCATCCATTCCCACTTGTCTTAGCAAATCAAAGAGGTCTAACTAGAAGCCTTGAAGCCAGAAAACATCGCAAATGAAGCCTTGCCTGGGATGGATAAGAACCTTACGATCAAAGAAGACGGAGCCTACTACTGTTGGATTAATGTCTAAGTCCATAACTATAATTGGTAAGAC